GATGAGTAAAAGTAACGTAAAATGACATGGAAACACTGACAAGGGAACGAGGAACTCTGATGGGTTGGTGAGGATCAAGGGAAACAATTGCAGAAAGAAGCCTGGTAACCAGATGAAGGAAGAACATTTCAAGCCGATGAAGAAATAGTCTAAGTATAGGAATAGAGACAGTAAAAGTAAGAGTGGGTTTAGTTTGGTGAATAGCCTTCTGTGATATAAGCAGAAGCTATACAGAAATGGTGCAAATTAGTTTATGGGAAAGAAAGAATTGTTTAAAGGTGAAAGAAAAAAATGATAGGGTAGGGCCTGTTTGGGAAATATCATTCTAATGAATTTAAGCTTTGGGGGTGCCTGGGTGGCTCAGTCAGTTAAACCTCCAACTTCGCCTCAGGTCATGATCTCCTGGTCCATGAGTTCAAGCCCCTCATGGGCTCAGTGCTGGCAGCTCAGAACCTGGAACCTGCTTAAAATTCTGCATCTCCCTCTCTCTGCCCCTCTCCCACTCATGCTGTGTCACTCTCTCCCTGTCAAAAATAAACATTAAAAAAAATTTAAACTTTGGTCTATAGTCAGTAGAGACCATAGTTTGGGTAAAAGTAATAAATAACTAGACTATAGCAATGGATAGAAACTTGTAAAAAATTGTCTAAGTATATGGATTAGAAGATAATTGGCTAATGCAGTTATGTGGTACAAAGGGTGAGAGACATTGGAGCCACAAACGCATAAAATTTCAAAATATGTACATAAGTATAGGCAAAATATAGATACGATACTATCATTCAAGATAAGAAACGAAGGCAACAATTGGTGAAATACATGATCATGATTTGTAACATAAGTTGATATATCCAAAGGATCTCATGAAGAAACAAAAATAATTAACTAAAAATAAAAAAATCAAGTCTAGAGATAAAGATTTGGAAACTATCATTTTGAAGATGGTAGTTGAAGCCAGAAAAGTAGATAAAACCACTAGGGAGCCTGTGGAAAAGAGAATACTGAGAGGAGACCACTTAGAAATGACAGTAGCATTCAAAATGGAAAAGGAAATCCAGTTCACATAGAAAGTAATATACAAGTGGAAAACCAGCAGGGTCAAATCAGTGACTTTAGACACAAGAGTTGAAAGAAGGAAGGTAACCTGAACATGGTGAAATGTTACAGAAAGGACAAGTAAGTTAGTACTGAGGAGACCAATGGGATTTTACACCATATCCTAGATAGACTTTTCATCTCAATATCCCTTCTTATGTAATATTTTTATTATGATCTTCATGTGGAGGACATACAGTGTTAAGTTTTTGATATATCTTTATTTACTTCTTTATTTTAATCTATCAATATTGTTCTAAGCAAAAGTGCTTTCTAAGTAGTTAATGGTGCTCAACTTCCCACTCTTCGTCTACAAATGGGAGCCATTATTAAACAGCAATCATTCATAGTTAAGGTAATAGTAGTAGAAAACCTTCATAAAGCATATATCCTTCTTTTAATCTTTTCATATAAATATATATAAATACCTATATAAGAAATATAATTATATATATGTATTTATGTATATGTGTATATATACACACATCTATGTAAAGAATGGTAATATCTCAATCTTTTCAAAGACAATGATATTTGATGTATTATGTGTCCAAATCCCATTAGATTAAACTTAATGAAATTTAAGGATCATGTCCTTCATTAATAGAGTAAATGGCATATAGAAGGGTCACATGAATGTTTTTTAAATACTTAAATTTGGCACTAGAAACAAAGAATGGTATAGCAAGAGATACATGAAGGAATAAGAGAAAAAGTGATTACATTGGAGGATAAGACTCATATGGATAATTTAAATTAACATGTACTGCTACTAAATAATTGAAAGTTCAATAAAAACCTAATTAATTATAACTCCCTCTTTCTCTTCTATGGGATCATTCAGTCTGAGGCTGGCTGATATTTTACCTTTGCACTATTTATGAAGCTTTGTTTTGCTGTGTAAACTAATAAGATAAAATTATTTCAAGTTTTTTTAAAACTACTCACGAAGCAAACTTTTTAAGGACTCCATGCTTAAATTATTAAATGAAAATGAATGACACAAATTATTCATGTCATTCTTTTAATAAAGTTAATTCAAAGATATCTCTCTTCAAAAAAATAAACATATCTAAATGCAAACTATGTACTGTTTGTCATTGGATTATAGAGGGTTCTTTTGATTTCCTTTAGTCCTTTAGCATTCTACTGTAATTACCACATCATACTATGCTTATCAGTATCATTATGATATTTATTACTGTTAGCTTCATCATCAATGCCACTAATATAATATCGCCTATGTGGAAGACTTTGGACAGTTCATATCTCTGTGAAGTATATGTTATTTAAGTCTTTTAGATGTGGTAACTAATGCTTTGGAGATTAAGATGCTTAAACTGACATAATTATTAAGTGGCAAAGCCAACATTTTAATGTAGATCTGTGTTGACTGCCCAAAATGCTTCAAAAAAATAAGTTTATTAGACCTATTGCAGTGAGAAAGAAAAGCATTTTAAGGTGCTAGGTAGCTCAGTAGGTAAAGTGTCCAACTTCGGCTCAGGTCATGATCTCACTGCTCATGAGTTCAAGCCTCACATCAGGCTCTGTGCTGACAGCTCAGAGTTTGGAGTCTGTTTCAGATTCGGTCACTGTCTCTCTGCCCCTCCTCTGCTCACTTTCTCTCTCCCTCTCTCTCTCTCTCAAATATGAAATAAAAACATAAAAAAATTTTTAAAAAGAAAGAATGGCATCTTGACTAGGTGTATTAGTTTCCTAGAGCTGCCATAACAAACACCACAGATTGAGTATGTATACATTATTCAAGGTGGTATCAGAGTTGGTTCCTTCTGAGGCCTGTGACAAAAAAAAATCTGTCTCAAGCCTCTTGCTCACCTTCTGGTGGTTTTCTGGAAGACTTTCGAGTTCTTTGGCTTGTAGAATCATCACTCCAGTCTCCGTCTTCTTGTTCACATGGTTTTCTCCCTGTGCGCACATCTATTTCCAGATTTTCTCTTTTTATAAGGACACTAGTCATATTGTATTAGGGACCCATTCTACTCCAGTATGACCTCATTCTAAATTAGCTGGTTACATCTGTGATGACCTATTTCCAAATAATATCAGATTCTGAAATACTGAAGTTTAGAACTTCAATTTATGAATTATTCAACCTGTAACACTGATTATTAGTAGACTCTCAAAATGGAGAGATTAGGGAAGTACATTTATGATATTTTAGATTGAGTTGTGTGGTTTTATGATAAGTCTTCAAAAGTGGAGTACTGATTGAGGCTAGGTTCACTTTCTGACAAATTAGTTTCAGATTGTAGGGCAAAATGAGGAGAGGAATATAAAACAATTTTTTTTATAAGTAAGTTGTTTGTCTAGATACATAAGACGCTTGGTTGATTCATGGTTTTATTATCCAAAAGTGGATATATGCTAGAGAAAACAGCTAAATTACTTTTTTTGATCACAGTCTTGTTCAAAATAGGAGGTGAAGAGTATGCCTGATTATAGGGAATTGCTAGTATGTTGGTTTTAGTTGTCATCTACATGACTTCAGAGTCCATCAACTACATCATCCTAACTTTCTTTCCCATCATTGATATATCCCAAAGTAGTCTGTTCTGCTGTTGGATTGCTCTAATAAATAGATTTTTGAAAAAGTTCTAATATAATTCAGTTTAAATTTGTTACCCTTTTGTAGTCATTGATGGGGTTAGATTGGGTTGAATCTTCCTTCTCCATGATAGCCTTCAGAAAGATTATCAATCATTCAATAGTCTACATACATACATATATCCTTCCCCTACTCTTCTATTTTCTAGACAAATCCTAGTTACTTCAGGTTTTCAAGTAAAAGCTATATTTATATAGTAAATATCATCATATCATGGGATAATAATAAGGTTGATAACTACAAGGTCATTATTTTAGATAGTGTCTTAGCCCTTTCAGATGGCTTCAATAAAGTATCACAGACTGAGTGGCATGATAAGCAACTGAAACTTATTTTTCACAGTTCTGGAGGCAGGAAGTCCAAGATCAGGATGCCAACGTGGTTGAATGAGGAGTCTCTTCCAGGTTGCAAACTTCTTGTTCTATCCTCACATGAAGGAAGGGGATAGGGAGTTATGTGGAACCTCTTTTGTAAGGGCAATAATCCCAATTACAAGGATGAAGCCCTCATAAACTAATCACCTCCCAATGCCCCACCTTCTAATATGAATACTTTAGAGATTAGGATTTCAATATAGGAATTTTAGTTTAGCATAAGTATTTAGACCATAGTAGATTTCAACATTTTCAGTATCCTGTGTCTTCTTACATCCAGAAATATGTCTACACGCGGAAGTACAAAATGACTGGTTTAAGTTTTCCTGATTAATTTCAACCATCTTAACACTAAGGTTCTGATAACAACCAGCATGCTATTATTTTATTGGCAGCATGTAAAGCCATGAAACCAATCTAAGCAAAATATCTTACTATTGCTCTGAAGTGAGTTTTGCAATATTTAAAATATCATGCACACTTTTGCCTGAGCTTTTATAGATGGTAAACATGTTTATCAATAACATTCCATTCTAACAGCCTTAAAACATAAAAATAATACATAAAGCGGAGAAGGAAATTCAGATATGGGTTTTGTCATCAAGGTGTCTTACTCTACATATAAGTCTGCATTTGAAAAAAAGTGGGGGTTCTGCAAAGAACTATCTCTTCTGAACTAAAAAAAAAGTTTTTTGTAAATACAGCTAAGAGTTATAGAATTCTACTCATTTTAATTTATAAGTATTCTGCAATTAGTTAATTAGATCAGTAGAATGAAGGCCAACAATCAACAGAAACCTTAAAGCAATTTAGAGTCCTTTTGAATCTTTAAAGAAAATCCAATAAGCACTTGAAAAACAAAATCAATGAAGAGTCTTAAATGTTTCTTTTCTGATTTTCCACAGGGTCCAAGTTTTCTCTCTGAGGCCCTTTTCCTTAAACGTGCAACAAAAATTGAAGAAATGGATCCTTTTTTCCACCTTCATGAAACCATTACCAAGGTAGGAGATAAATGCATTCATGAGCAAGTTGAGCAAGTTTTGTTCTTTTTTGTTGATAGATGGAAGAAAGGAAAATAACCAATCAAGAGAAAATTTATACTTTCATTTATAAAATGTATTTGAAAGAAATTTAAGTACCTCCTCTTATTTTACTAAGGAGTAAGAATGATAAATGTCTCAGGTAAAATCATAGCAACCAATAACATGATTTGTAATGAAAACCAATCTTTAATAAAACAATTAGGTTTTTTTTCTTAATCTGAAAGTATATTTGTGGTATAATCTCAAGTATACCCCTTGATTAAGGGCAGTATAAAATGCATCTTTGATTTTCTGCATCTTCAAAATTTTGTGTCAATACTTAAGATACTTGGTTGTTTGTGGTGGTACTTTGTCATTGCATTAAAAAAATAAAGACTGCATTTATAATCAATGGTTTTACACTATGATGATCATACCTATATTTTTGCTTAAAACTCTTATCTGTGAGTTTATAATATGGAGAAAATTAAATTGTACAGTATGGAGTAAATGAAGTTAATATTCTGTCATTACCTGACATCATATGAATTTTTACTTTTACCAACTATTTGCTTAATGTGTCATAACTTCTCTTTGGGGAGTTGGAATTTATAGAGAATTTTTGCATTTCAACATTTCAAAAAAGAATCCATATTTATATATGCTTAGTTGAAAGATTGAATCATTCTTAAATCATCTTAGTGAAATTTTACAAGGCTATTTTTCTCCTCTTCATAAACAGAGATGTGATATAATGAACAAACTCAATGAGTGGCAATAGAATGAGCTCAGAATACAGACTATATTCTAGATCTATCATAGCTTTCTTTCTTTCTTTTTTTTTTTTAAGCTGCGCATTTGTTTTTTCTGAACTTTTGAAATAAGAGGAGTTTGGAGCACATTTTACTTAAAATGCTCCCAAGCTCAAAATATCTGAATCTTAACTACATTTATAAATCTTTGCTTTGCAATTTATTCCTGAGTCTTAATTTACTTTTGAATGTATCCATCCTTTGATACCCATTTTTATTTGGATGCAGCAACATGGAAATAGCCCCTAAATAATAGGTCCTTGGTATGTAAGATCTTAACTATATGCTTAATACTTATAGGGATGATAGACTGATAGATAAAAAATGATATCTATAGCTATCTATTTAAATTAGTGTATATTTGTATGTGTTTAGATGAGAGTATGTACATGTGTGTGTATTTATTCAAGAATTCTGGATATTTAGAGTCTACATTTATTTGCTTATTTTTAAGAGAAGCATTAGAGGATTTTACGGCAATGGAATACTAATATTTTCTCCTTTTTTTTTGAGAATTTATTGGATGTTTGTGGAATGGATAATTTTGAGTCCATATTGATATCAGGTATATAACAAGAGGTGTAAACTCACACTGATTCTTACTGCATGATGTCTTGGCCACAGTGCAGTTCCTAGCAGCATATTGGGAAGCAGGGATGGGTCAAGAAGGCAGTAGGAGAACATAGAACATAGCCTGAATATATATATATATATATATATATATATATATATATATATATATGCTGACTATATATATATATATATATATATATATACATATAGTCACTACATACTGACATACTATCTATCTATCTATCTATCTATCTATCTATCTATCTATCTATATACTGACTATATATATATAGTATGTAGTGTGAAACACAGGAAATCAGACACCTTTGAGAGAATACACAAATTTGTGCACAGACATTACCACAGGTTCTATATTTATTTTCAAATATGTTTCATATGTAGGCAGATATTTAACCCATTAAATGGATTTTAGAAAGAATTCTTTATCTATGAAGAAAGAAAACATGCCTAAGTATACAAGCAAGTGTCCTGTGACATTTTTTATAAAGAAATTTTTATCTAATGTTGATGCTGTCTCCTCAGTCATCATGTTTACCTATGGTAGCCACTCATGTTGCAGATCTAGGGAAGAAATTGTGCTTCAGAAGTTCAATCTTAGTTTACCAACAGGAAAACCTGGGAACCATAAAATGAAGTAGTTTATAGATACTTTATTTTAAGGTCAAATTTTTGTTGATCAATAACAAAATAAAAATATAAATATAGTAGGGTTGATCAGAGCACATGAGTAGGAGATATGGAACAGAGGTTTTACTACCATGGTTACCAACTTATTATTTTATTTAGTAAAACTGCATTTTATTTTCTACATCAAAAATGAGTACACTCATAACAGCTTTCCTCACTAGGATTCTGTGAGATTAAAAGATGATGCATACATTTTCTCTGAAAATGCAATATGGATATAATTGAGTATAATTATTAATTCATTAAAAAGTACTAGTGCTGATACCTTCAAAGTAGACTCTTACCTGCTTTTTCTGAATTTAGTTTTTCCTTTAAGGAAAAAAAAATAAGTTAGATATGAAAGCATACAATTTAATTAATTAAGTTCTGAGAATACACTAGTAAGTTAGTGTACAAATAGAATATAAAATTTAATTTGTGAAAGATTGAGGTCTTTAGAATATTTTGTTTCAATAAGAATAATAGTGGTATTAGTGTGATATTACAGAAATAGCAACGGACATTGAATAAAAATACCCAGCTTGGTATAAATTCTGTCAATCTGAATTATGAAAAAATGATGTGAAATAGGAAAAACACTTTGTAAAATGATAAAACACAGTTACTGATATTATATCAACTTTAAAACATTTTTAAGAAATCCATCATAATTAAAATATTGAAGATACTATATTGCTATTTCTCCCCCTAAAAATTTGAATTGGATACACAGCACTATAACAAAATCACATATTTATTTTTCTAATAAATAAATGTAATAATATACATCTAAGACAAATGTTCATGTAATACAATCTATTATCTTTTCTGAGTGAATAACTGCAGTCTAGACCTTTGTTATAGATCACAAATATGATTTCTATAAAATTAAATTACAATTTCTAAGTATTAAAAAGTTAATAATCTATCATTGGTGTTTTTTGGATTTAAAAAAATGAAAATAAATAGATGGCACTAATATGTGGGGTAGGAGCTATGAGTCCTAGCATGTAGTTTCCCAATGTTGTCCTGTAGTTCTTTAAAAAACTGTTTGTTTGTTTTTTTTTTTACAAAGTTTGACTTTATCTTGGCATTTGTCTTTTTGATATAAAGCATGGAACCTAAGAAAGTAATGAATGAGGCTCAATATTGATGCTAAAAGGTATAATTCATCATTGCCTCAATGACAGGTGATGCAGGATAAAGTCAAAGGACAACACATACTGCACTGATGTTGAAGATGTTTTCTTATCTTCTATAATTATCTTTAAAAATAGAGTTTGTTTTTTTTAATTATCATGGAAGCCAAACTAATTTCTCTAAGACTACACATGAATGAAATACCAATATAAATTTTAGCTGCTTAATCCTTTAATAAGTGAATAAAAATCTCCATGGATTTATGTTTTGAAATAGGCTTATTTCTCCTTCTGTACCTAGGAATTTTGTAGTCATGTTTCTAAATCTTCAACATTTAGCTCATAAATTGTTATTAGTTATCTAAGTATTCTTGTAGCCTAGTATAAGCCAAGGATGAAGCAAAATACTTGAAAAAATTAATACATAGGAGCAGGTACAGGGAGTAAACAAGTAAGCAAATCATTTAATATAACACACTAAAAAAGGTGATAGTAATATGACCAAGTTATGATAAGAAAGAAGATTGGAGTTTATACTTCTGACTACGAGATTTGAAGAACTTATCAGAAAGGTGACATTTGAAGAATTTAAGAAATATTAACTTTATCTTAATGTCAATGAGCTCCCTTTGAGAGTTCTTTAAAGAGCAGGTTGTCAGTGGTAGTATGTGAGAAATGATGGTTTGTATTTTGAATAACAGAAGACAGATTTAAGAGACATGTTTAGGTTTGAATAACAGGATATATGATTTACTGTATATGGGAAATGAAGCAAAGTGAAAAGTAAAGGAAACTTTGAATAGCTCCATCTTAGGCAAAGTTGATATTATTGAATTGACCAAATTAAAAGTTGGTTTGAAGAAAGTGATAGAGTTTGCCATTGGACATGTGGAATTTTGGATATTTAGGGCATCTAGACAAATATGTCACGGAAGCAGTTGGATACATGAGGTTGGGGCTCAGAAAGAAATGGAATCCAATATGCATTAGCTGATGCAATAACCACTTGTCACATGTGGATTTAAATTAAAAATAAATTAAATAAAACTAGAATTTAGTTTCCTTGATATCATTAACCACAATTCACGTGGTTAGTGACCACATACGGCTAATAGTTACTGCATGGGATCACACAGATTATAGAATATTTTCATCATTGCCAATGGTGCAGATGATGTTACCCTACAATATTCATGCAGAGCAGCAAGAATTACAAGGAAAGGACAAAACACCCAAGGTAGAATGGTTTATGGAATCCACAGGACAAGATATATTCTAAGAAGGAGGAACAGTTCAAGAGCATATTCTCCATAACCTCACACCATTAAGATGGCTACTATTAAAAACAAAACAAAATAAAAAATACCAAGTAATGACAAGGATGGGGAGAAATTGAAATTCTTGTACACTGTTCGTGAGAATATAAAATGGTGCAACTATTGCAGAAAACTGTATGGCAGTTCCTCAAAAAATTGAAAATAGAATTATCATTTTGATCCACCAATTCCATTTCCGGATATGTATCCCATAGAATTGAAAGTGAAGTCTTGTAAACGGATTTCTACACCTATATTGATAAAAACATTATTCACAATAGCGAAAACGTGGAAACATCCCAAGTGTCATAGATGGATAAATAAATAAGCAAAATGGCATGTATATATACAATGGAATATTGTTCAGCCTTAAAAAGGAAGGAAATTATGATATAGGCTACTTGAGGACATCATGCTAAGTAAATAAACATAAGTGTCACAAAATGACAAAT